GACCCGAAAGGAGAAGCGGCGATGGAAGATGAAGAAGATGAAGACAACCGCAGCAACAGCAACAAACTGATCGTTCTTCATAATTGCGGAAGATCGCCATTGCCTAGTCTGGAAGTCCATGCTCGTCTGTCTCGTCTGATTTGTTGTCCGAACCTTCCATATCTTTCATTCAGTTCATCTTCCCGTCTGAATCGAGGTCTACCAATGACGCGTTTGCAGTCCCTCGGGTACCAACCCTTTGCTGATGTCCATCGACCATGCGTCAGTCGTGCGATGTAATCTGCCATGGTTGGTCCAATTCGAACTGCACATGTGTGGTTTGGGCTGTTATTGTTCAGCTTTTCATTTCATTCGATTTTAGCTAGTGTCAGCGTTTGCCATTATTCTTGGACATAACGTCTTTTTGCCTTTCACCCCGACGGAATATGGATTGAGATGATTGCTTTGTGAGTCAGCCTGTTCATATTTCTTCAGTGAACTTCAGCGTAGCTACCTGGTCAACAGCGGTTTCTCCTCCGTATCATCAGGTGGTGCCTCATTTCATGGATGTGAATCATCTTTATATAAACATGAATATGTCAAATATTTAGTTGATTCTGTATTTAAACGTCGCAAGTTTGGTCCGTTTTTTGATTGTATTCATTTCGATACAATACATATCAGGTATATCCGAGGAAATTGGACAGTGTTTAAAAATTACGGTCTTAATGTATTTTTCTGTGGGGTAAAACTGTAGGTAACCTACTGTAGCAGAAACTTGGTCCTCACTCCAGATTGGAGCGTAATAACGTGATCTAGCGAATAGCTTGCAGCAGCTATGGTTATATATTTATTCAACGTATAGTTCATTATTCTAATTTTGTTGCTCATGCCCTGAACGATGGTCATGACTTTAAAAACAGCAATTTGATAGTGGTCGATCGACACCGGAACCAGGTGAAACTGTTAATCAACTAGTCGCTACCGGCAACGATAGAACTTGCAGCCGATAGTGCTTGGTGCTACATTGACATTTCCGCGGCGTTGAGCGTGATTCGCAGCCTAATTGGCGACCGGACTAACGTCAAATTGATTGGTGATAGCGAAGCTGATAGCGCAGTATCGTTCTGAATTGTTGAATTCTTAGTGTTAATGAATTGTGGTAGCCCGCTTAGCGGCTCTGCTGCGGTGAGGGCCAATCCCGTCATATGTTTGATGAGTGCTCTGCATATTAGGATGCGATGCACCGCTGTCAGATCTTACTAGTCTATTGTCCATTACCAGTTACAATCAGTGAACACACTAGTTATCATACCAAAGTTACACGGACCAAAAAACAAGTCATCATTTACGACGGATTCATTCCTATGCGCAATTTTTTCGAACCTTAGAACCAATCCACATTCATGTCACTACCGCTGTCAGGGTCAAGTAGTATTATCGATCATACAGATGATTTACGAGCTGATGGCCGTCATGCCTGGTTATGATATTCATCACCGGCAATAACTTGGTGAGACCTCTTATGCTACACCGTTCTGTTGGGATGCCATGCCGTCATGGACGGTCGGCGTCATTGACCATCCGAAAATGATACCATGCGAATTGTCTTCATAGTTACGAACAAGTTGCGCTATGCTTCAGCATCCACCAACTGTACCCAAGTTGTCAGCATTTATTGTGGAAGTGGCTGTCCATGGGAATATAAACATTAGCATCCATTGCGACGTCCATATGCACATCCACTGCGACCTACTACACTACTGGTTTTTAAGTTTAATATTAATATCATAAGCTGTTCGTATGCCTGAGTATGACAAATAACGAATGACTTGTCCAAGGTAAGATTTCAAGACTTATTGTATCGCCCTGTTCGTCCTGCTCTTCGTTCTTCCCCCAAGGCACCTAGACGCAAGAGGATCCTGCAATGCTTGCAGTTGATTAATTTATACCCGCCTTGATGCCTCAACGCCGTGGCACATAAAAAAGAATATATCTGCTTTGTCACTTTTTTGAACATCATATTTTTATTTTCTTATGATGCTATCGTATCTAAGCCAGAATCTTGTTCAGAATTCTCGTGAAAGTTTGTTGAGACAAGTAATTTTTACTGATAATTAATATCCTGCTTTCCCATGTCTTTCCTCCTTCTTCTGTTGATCTAGGATATCGTGTTTTGTCTTTCTCTTTGAATATCAGCTGTTTATAGACACGAGCCTCAACGACTGAATTCCTTAAAAACAGCGAATATCATCAAGATATCATGTGGACGGCGTCATTGCGCTGCTTTGACAGCCGGGGGTGAGGTACTATGCGTGGTTATAGTGTTTGTCTCAGTTAGTATTACGCTTTTGTTTTCTCTTCAGGTATACGTTTGGGGCTCCAACGAATTTGGCCAGGTGAAGCAGGTTAGTCTAGATTGCGTCTTAGCCCCTGTTCTGCTGAAGGTACGTAGCGACTGGTCAGATGCTTGTCACCATCACCACCTAATTTTCCTCTTACTTTCTCATCTGCTCAGGTCGGCATGGCGAGTAGCGTGATGGACGTAAGCTGCGGTGACAACTTCACGGCTTTGCTTGTCAACAACGCTGATTTCTACCCGGACGTGTACTTTTGCGGCCTTCATCGATCGTATGTTGTATTTGTTTCGTTTTTTGCAGGCATCGCATTTTTTTCAAGAATTTATCAAATTTAGAGACAGAACTCTTTCGGTGTCGAGGGTGAAGATGTCTTCCGTAATCAAATATGGCGTCTGATCACGTCGTTCATGTTTTAAGTGTTTAAGGAACTTCACATCGCGTCTATTCGCTGCTTTGACGACGACTGCATTGCAGCATTTCACGTCGGATCACAGCTAGTCGATCCAAACCACTACTACGAGGTGCTGTTCCGGTTCATAGACTTTGTTCGAACCACGAAGCACATCCATGACTTCTCGCAAACCCTGGATGAAGGTAAGCGACAACCCTCTCTAAAATCGTTCCTTCATTGGCAATATGCTTCTTGCTGAATGTAGGAAGATACCTTGCCATATTTTTTATGACTTTATGTATTCCAAGATTTCAAGACCCAAACATTTATCCACCTTCTGAATTGCGACCTGCTAGACACTCATATGAATGTACTGATCGCTAAGGTACACGATACAATCAAACAAAATAAACTAAACGACATATGCAGCGAGACTTAGCGGTTCTTTCTCCCATGCAAAGTCAAATGCCGCTAAACGAACCATTGGTGTTGCAATACGATGTACAGTAGAATCGCTTTAAGGTGTGATAGCTAGCTCGGAGGGACCTACTGTGTGAATTTTCTTGTAAAAATGCTAGAAAGATGTAGTGATTCACGCACTAAAGGTATTTTTTCTAACAGTCTAGTAACAACTAAATTATTTCCTCCTTGTAACTGTTTTCGGTCATTCAGTGAACCACAAATTTTGGGTGCTCTTAACGTATCAACATCCAGATCAAACATGAGGCTCCGGAACAGCTTCCATAGACTTCAGTGTTTAAAATGTGGTAATTTTTTACAAAGTCAAATAGATTTAATGGAGCGACAG